ATAATTACATAGGTGATTATTGAAAATTCTCCACGCTGATTGGTTGCCGTTGAGGTGATTATTACGCGATAATCACCTAAGCGATTTTCAAAATGGCGGCCGAAGCCTTTTTGTCAATTAAATGACGAAGAAATGTGTATTTTATTTTTTTTTTCCAAATAATCACCTATGAAATTATACTAAAACAATTATTCACCTCAGGCTCGGTGATTATCGTGAATAAAAACCTCGACTTCGTCTCGGTTTTTATCACCGATAATCACCTTGCCTTCGGCGAATAATTGTTAAATAATAATGGATTAGTAAAATGGTTTTCTATTATTCACTCCCACAGATTATATTCACCCCCAGTGCTCTCACTTTTAAGGAATTATCCTTAAAAATAGGAATTTTGAAGAGTTTTAAGGATTTTTTTAAGGAATTTAGGGTTTTTTTAAGGAATTTCCGAAACATTTTATCAGGGGACTAAAAACGTTGGACGGAGGATAACCACGCCACGCAAATGAGATTTAAACTTGAAAGTAGCAACATTTATATGCGCACATAATTACATATATTCGTATGTTCTCTATGTCATAAATGTACATATGGCTGTCTTTTCATTAAAATTCTCAAAAGTTAAATGTCAGTATATGCTGGAGGTCGGCTATATTGCGAGTCCGCGAGTCTGCGAGTTGCGAGTCTGCGAGTTTACGGTGTGGATTTATTGCCTCGAAAACGCTCACTTAAGTGTAATTTTGTGTGCTTTGACGAATTGATCTTATATTTTATACTTTGACAGACACAATCGTTTCGCTTTTCCGAATTTCTCAAATTTTGGCGGGAAAATGACGTCATCGTTTTGGCGCCAATATTTTGTTTAAGTGATAAGACTTCCTTTGTTAATTTTTCTAAAATAAGAGGCTATATTATCTTCTAAACCGAAACAATAATTGAATTATCTTAATTCAATCAAGAGTTATAAAGGATGGAATCAGTTCAGATTTGGTCTATTTTGGGCTATTTTTAGTAACAAAATGGCCGAAATCTGAACGTTCCATCCGTTATAACTCTTGATCGAATAAAGATAATTCGATTATATCTTCGGTTTTGAAGTTTACACAACATATAACTTTTGAAAAATTAACTAAGGAAGTCTTAACACTTAAACAAAATATTGGCGCCAAAAGGAAGACGTCATTTTCCCGCCAAAATTTTAAAATTCGAAAAGTAAAACGAGAGCATTTCTTAGAATGAAAAGATCTGTTAAAGTATAAAATATAAGACCAGTTTGTCACAAAACACACAAAATTACACTTAAGTGAGCGTTTTCGACGCAATAAATCCCCACCGTAAACTCGCAGACTCGCATATTAGACAAACTCTATATGCTGTTTCTTCTGAAATCTACAGATTTTTTAAGCTCTTCATGCAGCAACGATAAAAAATAGCATCATGTTGAATGTTTTCTTTATGGCATTATGCTGACAATCAAATGGTTTCAGTTTTTAGTGCTTAGAAACACGGTTAAAAACTGAAAAACAGAAAAAAGGAGGAAAAAACCCACTTTTTGCAACAGTGTGATCAGGCCTTGTGGTAATTTTACCGATTTAAGGAATTTTAAGGAAATCTGAGGAATTTTCGAGCTTTTTCTAAGGAATTCGAAAATTTGATTGTGAGAGCACTGTCACAAAATAGAGAAGGGCAGAAGCTGCCGGCACATGTTACTTCCGGATCCTGGCCGCCATGTTGAAAGCAACCAACTCTGGTCCAAAACATTATAAACAAGACGCCTACTCAGGCGTTCACTCCGCCTGCCGGCCTGCGGAGAAAATGGGGACAATGTAGGGTGCGACGGAAAAGTGAAGTCAAATATAAGCCGAAGTGGCGACGTTTGGCTAATGCTGACGCCACTACACGTCTTAATTAACACGTGCGTAGGGGGCTGAAGCTGATGTCTAAACTGGCTGTGATGGCATGCAAGGAGCCTGAAACTGACGTCCTAATGTCCAAACTTTACATTGAATTTTCATAAGAAAGTGCCATAACCTATAAGAGACAGAAATAGGATATTAATTCTGACACACCAATTCTGTTTGGCCCATCATTGTAATAATAGAGGTCCCAAAAGCATGTTTGAGTGGCTTGGTAGGTATTCTGCCCAGAGTCCTAGTAGGGTTGAATTAAATACATTACACAACACATAGTATCTATTAATGTATCAATCAATTCGAAACTGCACCATCCCCCCCCCGGGCATACCCCGGGAATTTGACTTCAAGTCTTCTCTAGGAAGTAGGTAATTTGACGTTCTAGGTCTTCCATGTGGTGGGGCATTTGATAACGGGGTGGGGAATTTGAACCGGAAGTCTTAACATTTTGCCCGTTTTAGCGTGCTTCCTGCATGAACAGAAAATACTTCGCATTGGCGGCAAATACAGTTTTCTCAGATTTCGAGGGAAACAGCCTCAATTTTGTGAAAAACTGGCTCAAAGAAACGGGCATGGAAAATCTACGTGCTTCATTTGAAGGTATGTACTACATAATTGTGTAAAACTGTTAAATTTGCAGAAGGTATCCAAACTTTTTACGTGGATTTCGCTATCCTGTCGAAAAACATTTCCGTATATTTAGTACTTTTTGTATTCACTGTTTCATAATTTTCATATGAAGGTGGGGCATTTGAACGCTTAATTTCTTGTTACAGTGGGGCATTTGAAGACATTTTTTGCACAGGGGGTGGAGAATTTGATCAGTCAAATTTCAAAAAGTTCAAATTCCCGGGGTCGGCCCAGGGGGGGATGGTGAAGTTTCGAATTGATCGATACATAACACACAAGGGCAGTAGAAAGAGCAAAGCAAGCAAACCCAAGCTGGCTGTGAGTTCAAGAAGCTGACGTTTCTGTTATTTGTTAACATCACTATATATCATAGATTATATTCTTGTCTTGCAACCAGTCCCTTGAGAATTAAAAGAATGTGCGAAATTCGGTAAAAAATAATGAGATTCTTTGTCTTAATACTACCACATGGCTGCCGTTTCCGGTAGTTGCGTACTAAACATGTATAGTAAATTATAAACACGACAGCTTCAATACTACATTTCCTAAACTCTTCAAAACATTGAAATATATTTAATAACCCGATAGCCTCAACACTACATAGCCTAAACTCTTCAGAACATTGTAGGGACCTTTCACACAAGAATATATTTTGCTAGTCAAGAATATAAGATCGACATTTAATACGACATACAGTAGGAGTTAATATTTTTATTTATATTTATGACTTTAAAGAATTTCTTGTTGTCAAAATGCAGCATGTACTACCAAAATAAGAATGTTTAGTATCCCTTACCTCAGTTGAGTCTGGAAGCTTTGTCTTGACATTCATCTTTTTAGTATTTTTCATCGCACAAGACCGTTTCACAGTTCGCAGTTTGGAAAAATACTGTAAGCAGAGCTGTGAGCATGCGCATTGCGCTGCCAAATCGTATAACATTATCCACAAATGTCAATAGAAAGTATCTAAATATCATGGAATGTACACATTTATCAAGGAGCCTGTTTGTGACACTGACGACAGTCGACAACCGACAACAGACTCAGGCATGTTTAGACTCCGCACTGCGCATGCGCAGGCGGAGTAATTAACTCAGCAGTTTTGTACATATTATTGCATGAAACCAAATACCGACCATGCAGTTTGACAAGTCGTATTATAACTAGCTAGTATATGCATGCGCCAATTATCACTTATTTAATGAGACCGAGGGAAACAGTGTGTTTTTTGGACTCGAGATCGCCGTTGTTTCCCGGGGCGAAGCCGAGGACAACAACGGTGGTCGGGGGCACAAAACACACTGCTATCCCGAGATCTCAGTAAATAAGTCTTTGTTATGTAGTATAGTATGAACAATTCGCCCGTTATTGGAGTGAACTTTGAAACCAAAACTAGATCAATGGAACGCCGTATATGTTTAATAAAAAAGTTTAATAAAATGGGACTTCACGGTTGACCCGCATGCGCACGCACCCATTCTATTATTGGCCGGTCAATAATTGTTTCTTTGCGGACCGGTTGCCTCCTCGCCAAACCATGCCGTGAACATGACGTTTTGTGTACCCGCACGTGATACGATTTTGACCAATCGGCAAACAGAAAAATTGAACTTTGACACTAACTAATATAACAAGAAGATTTGTTGTATGATAGGTCTTGTGCGTTGATATGAAAAATGGACTGGATAGGGCATCCTTTCGAATTCAACGAGTCAATGTTGAAGCCTGACCAGCTTTTAGAAGAATAGATTTGTAATTTGAGGTGTCCATATTGGTGTAACCGCATCCACCAAATCCGTGGCCAGAGGGGTGATTCCGCTCGGCTGCATCCGGCAAAAAGGAAGCTAGCGGATCGAAAGGTTTATCCCCGAGCCGGCGGCGCGAAGCGCCGTGCGAGGGTACTAATTCCCCCCGGCTATTTACACCCGGGGAAACGAAAGCATTAGGGAAGTCTGAAGTTCATCAAATATCGCGGGCGTGGGTCACTGTGCGTGTTTCGGTGGGTGGTCATCCCATAGAGATTATAAATAACACTAGAGGAGGCATCGAGTTTAAAAATTGGGAACGCAGCTAATGGGGGGCAAATTCAAGTCCCGGATATAAAATCGTGCTCTCATTGGCTGATTTGAAACTCGTCACCAATGGGAACACGAATACACATCCGGGACTTGAATTTGCCCCCCAATAGCCGCGTTCCCTTTTTTTTTACTGAATTAAGATTACAATGCCTCCTCTAGTGTTATTTATAATCTCTATGGGTCATCCTCACTGATCTCAAAAATATGGCGGACTGTCATGAATAGCGAACACTGATTGGTCAAATTTAAAATTTGTTGTTGTACGACGAATGACGACTTCAACTGACAGATACTTCATGAAAATATTTTGCTTTTTGCACTGCAATATTTTGTAGGTTTGCAAAAATTTTTGACACTTATAAAAGCAATTTGTTAAATAAAAAGTTTAATAAACAATTACGGTATCAAATATCAATTGAGAATACATGGAGCCAAACAAAAAGCGAGAAGAAAACGACAAGAATGCCGAGCGTCTAGCGAAGAGAAGGGAGCGAAGACGACAACGTTTGCTCGCGGAGACTGCTGAGGAAAGAGAAACTCGCCTGGGAAAACGCAGAGAAGCATGGAAAAAAAAGACTGCCGAGGCAAAAGGTAAGCAAAGGGAGTATAAGAGAGTCCGTTATAGGCAACAGAAAGAAGCTGGAGAAAGTACCGAGGAAAGAGAAGCTCGCTTGGCAAAACAAAGAGAAGCCAAAGCATGGGAAAAAAAGACTGCTGAAGCGAAAGGTAAACAAAATGAGTATAAGAGAGTCTATAGGCAACAGAAAGAAGCTGGAGAAAGTGCCGAGGAAAGAGAAACTCGTTTGGCAAAACGAAGAGAAGCGTGGCAAGAAAGGACTCCAGAAGCTAAAGGTAAGCAAAAAGAGTATAAGAGAGTGTATGATTTAGATAAAATGCAAAATGAGACTGAAGAAGAACGAACAAATAGGCTACAAAAGAGAAAGCAAGACCAAGCAACCGAAACAGTTGATGCCGAACGAGCAAGAATACTTGAAATACTACGAGCAGTTTTTCACAAAGCAAGTTCAAATGAAAATGACCAAAAATCAGATGAGCAGTTGAGTATTTCTGTTGATTCAACTGTAGATATATCTGTTCTTGAAGCAGACAAGGATAATGAGTCTGTACATGAAGCAGAGGGGCCAGGGGTGAGTAGAAATGAATATTTACATGAGGGTGGTTGGCAAAATGTTGACAACCCTCTGCATGAGCTAGAGTTTGTACAAAATGAAATGCACAGTTTTCATTTAGATCAAGAACATTTAGAGCATCGACAATGTACAATGTGTAAAGAAGCTTGGCCGACACGACAGAACTTAGCATCAGAAGTATACATTTGTTACCGGTGTAAAAGAGACAAGAAATCACCCAAGAAATTCAGTGCAGAGAATGACATGGACCCAGGAATAGTTCCTGAACAATTGAGAGGTTTGACACAGGTAGAAGAAATGTTAATTTCAAGGGTTTGTCCCATTATGAGAGTGTATAGAAAACATGGGGGTCAGAGGGGGTATAAAGGACATGTACTTAACTTACCACAAGATATTCAAAGTTTCTTGAATAGGTTGCCTTCTCGTGTGGCAGACTTGCCTGTCTTGATTGTGCGAAGACATGGTGCAGAAGACACACATCGAGACTTTACTGTGCGTCGACACAAAGTTCTTGAGGCTGTACTATGGTTAAAGACAAACAATCCGTTCTTTAAAAATATTGAAATTGATAGAGATGTCATCCAAAGTTTACCAGAAAATGGTATTCCTCATGAGCTAAGGTATGTCATTGATGAAAATGAGCTTTCAGTTCATGTTGAAAATGAGGGGCCTCCCCAAGACCCAGTAATGAGTGCTAATGCAAGTGTGGAAGAGTTAGTTTTAGGAAGTGGCAGTACATCGTTTATTCCTATGCGTCAAAGACAGAGAAAAGAAGGTGCGGCTATCCAAGATGCAGTAAGTGAGGTTGATCCGTTAGACTGGCCATCTACTGAAGGTAATCTCATTAATGAATTTAAAACAGATGGTTTAGCTACTATGGCCTTTCCTACATTGTTTCCTTATGGGAAGGGTGACCCAACAAATAGGGCAAGACAACATGGTATAACGTTAACCGAAGCTTTCAAACACTTAATGAAGTTTGCAGAGAGGCTTGCAGATGGTAAGTTTGAATGGAGGTTTGCTTCTCACCCTCGGTTTCCTTATTGGGCGTTAAACATGAAACAACGACATCAGCTGTTGTCACAAGCAAACGTTTACTTGCGTCAACATCCTGCTGATGCAAACATGACAATGGAAGAACTGAAAGCAGATGGTCAATTCCATGAGTGCAAATCAAATGGTAAATAGGTTGCAGCGCTATGTGTCCAAAGTACAAGGTACGAATCAGTATTGGTATCAGCGGCTGCAGGAATTGCTGGCCCTGATTGAACAAAAAGGCTGCCCTACTTTTTTCTTTACCTTTAGTGCAGCTGACATGCATTGGCCAGACTTACAGAGGCTGTTGCAGAATGATGAAGGTGCAAGCAGATCTGAGCGAGCACAAGCTGTAATCGACAATCCCCATCTGACTGATTGGTTTTTTATGCAGCGGCTGCAGGAGTTTGTCAGACATTGGCTTAATGGCGTCTTGGATGCTGAGTGGCACTGGTATCGATTTGAGTACCAAGCTAGGGGAAGTATTCATTGCCATGGATGTGCAAAGTTAAAAAATGACCCTGATATTAGAGAATTACGTAATAAAGCATGTGTTGCATTCCTAGAGAGTGAGACAACAAGGTACGAAATGTCACCTGATGATTTTGAATTCCTTTGCGGGAATGTGATAAGACAGGGAGAAGATGCTGAGAAGTTGTTAATACAGTAAGAAAAAATATTTTCCATATTAATGTTTCCAATGCGTACTGTACGTACAGGTAGATCAAGCTACAGTAACTGTGCAGAATCTGTTGTGGGATAATTGTTTCAATAATAAAATTTTATCCTGCAACAGGCCTTCAAATGCATGTATACCGGCACAATACCGGATCATAATTAATGCAGTAGTTACACAATACCGGACTCGCTTCTCATAGTGCAGGTCAAATGTTCATGTCAACTACTGTAAAAAGTGAATTTTGTATTATGCATGTATTAACCACTGCTGCCTATTTTGGATATTTAATAATATGACTACTACTGTAAATTAAAAGGCAGGATAAACTACTGTACACAACTTTTGCCTAAAATTGTCGCATACAACCTGCTTATATGCATGTATACAACTTGAGTGTACTGGGTGAACCAGCACACAACTATGCCTATGACAACGTAAGTGAGTAAATGCAAGTTTAATACAGTGAATAACAGTGTCAACTTGTGTCCTTGATAATTTACACAGTAAA